GCTGCGTAGGCGGGGTTTTCACAACAGCCTGCTCTGAGAAGCCCATGGGCAGGCTCCGGCCAGTAACCAAGGGGAAAAGCAAATATTTCTTCCCCCTGCCCATGCCCCGGGGAGCTGGAGCGCTGGTCATCGGGGTTGCAGAAGGTGGGAGGTTGAAAGCAGCCAGAACTTGTCATCCTCCAAGCCCTGGGGGGGTCCTGGGGGTCAGGGCTGATGCACCAGTCCTCAGCCCCACACCGAGCGTTTTCCATCAGCCCAGGAGGGATTCAAGTGGTCCCCATCCTCACGATGACGCTCTCAGGGTTGTCCTTGACCCTGCCCTGAGGGGCTGAAGACCAGACACAGCCCCAGAGGCAACCTGTCCTGTGAGAAGGAGGTTCCTTGGAGGGCCAGCTCTGCATCAGGGCTAGTTGGGGACACGCAGGTTGTCCCCGAGAGATCCAGAGTGACCTGCTACAAAAATATCAAAGCCAGGGAGATACCTTGAACCCTCCCTGCCATTGCCCCACACCATGGTAAGGTCTTTGCTGGGAATGGTGTCGTGGAGGGCACCGATTCTTCTATCTCTTCCTGCTTCGCTCCCTTTGGGCTCCACTATCCCCCTGCCATGTTTGCCATGTGGCATAGCATGGGGACAGCCCGTGGGCAAGATCTGTCCCCTCTTTCTGCTCCAAGAAGGTGGTGTGGGTGCTGGGTTTTACCAGCAGGATGATGGGCAGAGACAGGAGCTGAGACCAGGGGGACCTTTATGACGTGACATCAAGTTTGGGGAATGGCATCAAGACTCGGGTTTCACCTGGATGGGAAATCCACCTTCTGGACCCAAAGTTGTCCCCAACCTAGCAGCTGGAGGGCAGGAGAAGACACACACATGGCAGTGTCACCTCTCTTCTTGCAAACACCCAGAAGAAATTTGTCCAGGGCTGGGTGTTCTCAGTTCACCCAGTGCCTGGATGTGGCCCAGCCTGGTACAGGGACTACCCTCTGGGAACACATGGGGCTTTCCATCACATCCTGGGGATGTCCCACACACCGGGGCAGACGAGTGCCCCGTCACCCCAATCCCACGATTGTGAGGGAGGACAGCAGCACTGAGAAGCCTGCCCAGAATGAGACCAGTTTCCCCAGTGGCTCCACAGGTTCCCAAGCAAAGCTGCAAGCAAAGGGGGCCTCACACCCTGAGCACCCACCCTGGCTTCTCCAAAGTATTCCTCAGAGGACCAAGCCTGGATCTGGTGAAACACAGACAGTATTTCATGGGGCAAGAGCGAAGGAAAAGAGCTCAGCAAGTCCACAGTGGAGATAAGGGCCATCTAAGATGTGCAGCAGATGCAAACAGGTCCTGCTGTGTCCTGCTGCACAGCCTGTCCCCACTGTAGGACATGTTTGGGCAAGACCACATGCAAGAGAGCTGGAGGAGAAAAAAAACCCACAAAAAAACCCAGAACAAAATCCCCCAAATCAACTTTTAGCAAGCAAAGTGACTTTCCCTGGAACACAACCCTGGTCAGTGGCAGAACTGATGAGATCCTGCGCTCCCCAAGAGGCCCACAGTACCCTGGGTCTGTCATCCCCACCACCAGAAAGTGGAGAAAAGGAGAAAAGGCATGGAAATATCCTTGCAATGAGATTCCCAGAGTGTTTCTCCCAGTGAGGCTGTGCCAGCAGGAGAGGAGAAGTTTCCTGCTCTGGTTGGGACGCACACTCATCATGGTGCTATTTCCACCAAGGCACCCTCACCTTCCTCAAGCAGAGATTACTCCTCTGGGACCTGCAGCTGGAGCTAACTCAGACCAGACACCTTTGCCTGTGTGAGGCCAAATCGATGAGCTTCTCCCTGAGCAATCCAAGCTCCCACATTCCCCCCAGAAACTCCTCAGGTTTCTGCCACCAAGTTCAAAACCTCCCAAGATCAAGCCGCGCGTGAAGCCTGTACTCACCATCCTCGCAGAGGTTCAGTTTGGAGAGGTTCCTTCCCTCAAAGGGCTCCTCAAAGATGGAGCCATTCTCCCTCTCATTGAAGGTGTGAAGGTACATGGCCTTGTTCTCCATCCTCCTGCTGCTGGTGGAGCAGAACAGGGCACGTGAGTGACCAATCCTGGCTAATCCTGTCCCCTGCATAGCTCTGGCACCATGGTCTAGTGCCACACGGTGTGTGGGCTGGCGACTTGCTGCCAAGGGACCCTTCTGCTCTTGCTTGGTGAAGCTGACCACCACATCTCAGCATGTGGTTTCTTGGCCTGTCTGTGGCCCAGGCTGGGTTTGGCAGCACCCCAGAGACAGATCTTCTCAGCGAATGCAAGGAGAAGCTTAGAAGAACCTCAGGTCCACCACCAGCTTGTCCTGCCTGTGTCCTTGCAGCCCAGCAAAACTCACCACCAACACCAAAGAGACTTTGCTTGTTGGCCAACGGGGGGGCCCTGCGCTTGCCCACCAGCTGATCCTGCTGCAACTACCTCTCTGGTCAAGAGGCTTGAGTTGGGCTTCTCCCAGGGACAGGACCATGCCTGCAGTGAACATTTTCAACCCTGAGGAGGTTGTGTCTCCTCTCCCACTGAGGTTTCATCACGACACCCTGCCGGGGGGGAAATCAGTCCCCAGGCGGGCTCTGGTGTGGAAGGAGTTAAAATCGCTCTTTGAGTGCGACCTGCTGAGCACTCCCAAACTCATCTCCTGTACCCCTGCGGCTCCCCCCAGCCCCATGTGCTGTCAGTACGTGGGTGCTGTGGCCCGTGGGGATCCCCCCCACTCCCAGTTCCTGCCACCCCACTCCCCAGTTAAAACCAGTCCCGCTGGAATCAGGCTGGGTAGGGACTTCCCTGGCCGGGAGCAGCACTCCCGGCCCCTGACCCCGCTCCCACGGGGAAAACATCACCCGTGTAACCCGAAGGGAAGGGGGGCTTGTCCCGCAGCACCACTCACCTGCCGGGTGGCCCCACG